AGAACAAACAATAGAATTCACAGTCAATAGAAATATTTTTCCAGCAGACAACAAAAAGTTCAAAATCGAGATATAAAACGTCTTTAAAAAAAAATTAAGCCTTACGTTTTATTTTGGAACATGTTGTTTGGATTAGTAAATTTAATGATACCATTCATAAAACACTTTCTGTTCATGGCATTTGATATATATAAATATGTTTTTATTTCAAATCGAAATTTAACAGTAGGTAATATCCAATTAAAAAACAGAAGGATACAGATTTATGAAAGTTTCTAAACTGTTATTAAAATTATTAGTAAAGAATTCATTTTATATTCAATGATATTAGAATTAATATATTCTCTAAAATTTGTAAAATGACTCTCACTCTAAACAGTGAAATCTCACTCTTAAAAATTGGAAATTGAGGCACTTTGTTTTAAGACTAGTTCAATTTTTACTTTTTAGACTGAGACTCCACTCCAAAAAATTTAGAGAGTAATAAATGAAAATTAAAGTAAAATTTAAGGCAAAAATTAAGATGATCTCGTAAATTAAGATTGCCCAATGTGATAGAAAACGTTTAAAAATAATTTTAATCGAGCACGATCGGTCAGCTGAACAATTGAAGGACGATGACAACGTCACAACATTTCGATCTCCATTTCCGACAGAGATAACGACTTTGAGAACGTCGCGTCGCGACACACGCGACTTTTTCACAAGCGCATGCGAAGTTCGTTCTTAATCCAATGCAATGTTATCATGATGACAATGAAAGTTGCTGTTGTCCACCGGCATTTCCGCCATTCATTCTGTTGTCCCATTCCATTCTATTCCATTCTTCCCGTGGATAAATCAATTTCAGAACATAAAAGTAGGTTACTCGACTTGGAGGACAATGCTTTTTACAGATCACTCACTGGCAGCATCCACGATTCCACGCCTACTTCCCGTCCGGCAACTCGTTCCCCTCAATCCTGGGTGACCTGCTGTCAGATGCGATCGGCTGCATCGGCTTTTCGTGGGCGGCCAGCCCGGCTTGCACCGAGCTCGAGACAATTGTGTTGGACTGGTATGCTAAGGCGATCAACTTGCCGACCGAGTTTCTGTCGGAGCAAAAAGTCGGCGGCGGCGTGATCCAGGGTTCAGCCTCCGAGTGCATCTTGGTGACAATGCTGGCGGCGCGAACGCAGGTTATCAAGAAGCTGAAGGAGCAGGAACCCAATAAGGAGGACTCGGCGTTTCTACCGAGATTGGTGGCCTACTGTTCCACGGAGTCGCATTCGTGCGTAGAAAAGGCGGCGATGATAAGCCTGGTGAAACTCCGAGTGCTCGAGCCGGATGATAAGGCCGCATTACGTGGCAAACGGCTCGAATTAGCCATCAAGGAGGATGTGGAGAACGGCCTCGTGCCATTCTATGTGTCCGCCACTCTGGGTACCACTGGATCTTGCGCTTTCGATAATCTCGTGGAGATCGGACCCGTGTGCAAGTTGTATCCCAATATCTGGTTACACGTGGACGGCGCTTACGCTGGTAACGCTTTCATCTGCCCGGAGATGAGGCCGTTCATGGACGGCATCGAACACGCCGATTCGTTCAACACGAATCCCAACAAGTGGTTGCTGGTGAACTTCGACTGCTCCTGTCTGTGGGTGCGCAATCGAGTGAAGCTCACATCAGCACTAGTCGTCGATCCACTCTATCTTCAACACGCTCGCTCGGGCGAGTCGATCGACTACCGTCACTGGGGTATCCCTCTCAGCAGACGATTTCGAGCGTTGAAGCTCTGGTTCGTTATGAGATCGTACGGCATCAGCGGCTTACAGAAATACATTAGGAATCACATAAGACTAGCCAAGAGATTCGAGGCGCACATGAAGAAAGACAAGCGCTTCGAAATCTTGAACGATGTGCGAGTCGGCCTGGTGTGCTTCCGATTGAAGGAGAGCGAGGAGATGAATCAGGAGTTGTTAGCTAACATTAACGCTTCCGGTCGGTTGCACATGATACCAGCTCGTGTGATGGGCAAGTATATCTTGCGTTTCTGTGTGACAAAGGAGGATGCGACCGAGGACGACATCGATTATGCCCTCAGTGTGATCGAGGAACATGCTACGGAGGTGATGCTGGCTCACTACGAGGGCACGGAGGACGAGTACAGAGCGAAGGGCCCGAAGAGTCCGAACGCTCTCGACAAGAAACTCGTCCGGAAGTTCAGCTTCACCAGGAGCGTCACTAGAGACGTTTACAAGAGATCCATCTCCAAATCTAGCCTACACGACGGCGCGACACCCATTATGGTCGTCGACGATAACTCGCAAGTCGACGCCATCGACGACGATCGTTTCTGCAATAGCAGGTAATCTATTCCGGTTTCTAAACAAATCTGAAGCTTATATTTTTTGTAAAATATGTCAATGAGATATGAGTTTATTCTCAATTTTATTTATTTATTTATTTTTTTATATTATTTGTAATAAATCTTATTATTTTTATCTTCTATTTAAATATGATGACAGAAGATAAAATAAAATTTCTTCATTCGACCAAAAAATTTTAAAAGCTCTTGGTCAGTTTCTTTTGTTGTCAGCTTGATAATGATAATATAAATATTATAAATATAAGTAAACTTTTTAAGTAAAATTAACATATTGATTTATTTTTGAAGCCACAAAACTTTTTTTTTAATTTTAATTATTGATGAAATATTAATTCTAGATCGTGACGATGTCGATGACGGTCCCCAGCGCCGACTCGGGACGACGTAGATGATAATAAAAAGGGCCCTCGCTACACGGCCGTGTGATGCGAAACTCTGACGGCCCATCGTCGTTAATTTATCGATTCCCGAAGTCGCGTTTGTTGATAAGGACCGACTATCACCGATTACATCGTCACGTGAGTTGTTTAGTCAAATTATTCGTCACTAATCAAGTTCGCTAAATACCACCAAAGATAATCGCTCGTTTATGAACGATGGATCGTATATTATCTCGAGCACGAGTGATTCTTCGTGGCAACAAATTGCGTCAATGGCACATGAGATATTGAGCCAAGTTTTGCGATAAAGCGTAAGATTCTTAAGCACATTTTAGACAGTCTGTAATAAACGACAGAATTTGGCTTAAACAATTTAATTACGAACGCACATACATAATGCAAAAAAAATTCGAGTAGTGTAAGCTTTTTTTATTACGATCGAGTTTTTATAAGAGGATGAAGATTTTTATTAAAATTATAGATAGAATTTTGCCGCATACAGAAATTCTGTTCCGAGCTACGGACGGTCTAAAGTGGGTTTTAGAGGCGGCTGCGCATACAGTTAATGTAGTCGTTTGATCTATTTTGGTATATACATACATATATATATATGTCTGTATAAGCGATAGAGAGAGATGAATCGATGTACATATATAATATGTGATAATGACTGCCGATGCACGCACGGACTCTAATAGTTTTATATAAAACGTTAGTGAGTAATTAAAGTGTATCGATCTCAATAGATTTACAAGTGAATTAATAGCAAACGATTATACTGATCCCAATGTGTACCGAATATATCAGAATTCTATTTTTTTTTGTCATCAATATTATAATCGAAACTGCAAAGAGATGCGTGAATGTTAGATATCATCAGGAAAGCATTGAGTGACCGTTCGGTGTGATTGATCTGTAGATCAAGCGGCAAGTCACTCGACGACCCATTTGAGTGGAGCATACATCAACATTACATTTAGAAGATACTTAAGTTTAGGTACGCGAGACAAAATTTCGATTTCAATTAATAGAGAATTAATTAATTAATGAAAACATATTGTTTAATGATAGTATCATTAATTAAAAATTAATACGTCATGAAAAATAATATGTCTGATAATTCATAAAAAAATATCCAAAATTATAAAAAAAATTATAATAACTAAAAAGATATATCTTTTGAGACACTAAATAATAAAGTAAAATTAGATTTTCAGACACGTGAATATAGTATACGTTATTCATTAATTCGTATAATTGATCGGAGTATATCGTCGCATCGACCAATAAAAATAGATTTTATTTTAGATATAGATAATCCTTAAGATAAGAAAAAAATCATGAAATAATACTTGGGAAAATAAACATATTTGTAAACAGAAAGATTTGCAGATTTAAATTGATAAATTTACAGGTCGATGCTTAATACAAATATATCGATGTATACGAAAAAATATATGTACGTTTGTCTTCGATGACTTGCTCTGATTTATAAAAATTAATTTCGATACGTACAAAGGTAATACAAGAGAATTACCCAATTACATTATAGAATTTTACGAACATGATAAGTAGAATGAAATATTTATTTCATATGTACAGATGTTAAAATAAAATTACAGTTCTTAAAATAATTGATTTTTTTTTCGTCTCCAAACTCTATTTAATTTTAGCTATAAATATTCATTTTTCAAATAAAATTCTGTATCAATAATTAAATTAATTGTAGTTAGAGAACTAACTTTTCAGTCTATAAAATTATAAACAAAATTAGATTCTGAATCGTAGCACAAATTTTAAGTTAAGTAAGTTTCGTTTTATTATACTTACAAATTTATATGTTAAAGTAATAAGTTTGTAATTTCCTAAATGTAAGAATAAAATATTATTTAACTCGATTTTTTATTTCATTACATGATGCATTGTTTTCCTTTTTTTTCTCTTTCTCTCTGAATATTTCTGATATAAATAAAAACAGCCTAAGGGAAATTCAAACATAAAATATATTTATCATGTATAAATTTATTTATATAAATGAAAGATATAATAATATATTGCATAATAATGAAAGATTATTGAACAATTAGTATAAAAAATTAAGATCAGTAAAAGATCTTATTTTTATGTTTTACATTCATAACCTTAAATATATATAACTGCAGTTTGTATATATTATAAAACTATTACTTTTATTGTTGAAAAAATAAATATAATTATATATAGTTAGTTCACATATAATTATAACTGTCAATTCATATGAAGATCAAAATAACATTATCACTACATCTGTCCACACTGAGATATCGTCACAGGAATCTTTGGTTTATTATTTGGTCCAGTAGGAACATTTTCTACCTTTCTCATAACAAGAAGGCCATCAATAACTCTACCAAAGACAACGTGCTTGCCATCCAAGAAATTACACTTGGCACACGTGATGAAGAACTGACAGCCATTGGTATCCTTGCCGCTGTTTGCCATAGACAATAGACCAGGTGAGTCATGTTTCAATGTAAAGTTTTCATCAGGGAATGTTCCACCGCTGTAAATGCTCAATACCCCAGTACCATCACCATTGACAAAATCACCGCCTTGTATCATAAAGTCCTTGATTACTCTGTGGAAGATGGCACCTTTAAAACCCAACGGAACGCCATCCTTTCTGTACTCCCCGGTGCAAAACTGTCGGAAGTTCTCCGATGTTTTTGGGCAGACATCCTCGAATAGCTCAAAGATCATACGACCTATCTCCGTGGTTCCCACCGATACGTCGAAGAACACGACTGGATTATTGGGGTTTCGCAGTTGAGCCTGAATCTGGTTCCAAGTAGGCATGGTTACTCACGGTGCTCTTATCTTTAATTTACTGCAAACACTTTTAGTAGAATCCTTGAAAAGCTTTGAAACGTGGACGAATGATTCAGAGAAAAATGTTTTTCCTATCTGTAGAGGATCAACGCAAATATAACCTCAAATGCTGTTATAGGTTAGGTTTCCTCCGGAATGATTTTGCAACGCACAATTCGCACAAAACGGTTAAAACTAATGTCCTGAAACAACGCCAGGAACGAAAGACGAGTTTCGAGCTACGATTCACGATACTGTAAAAGTATCTCAACGTAAATACACCTTTCTGTGATCTGAAAATTTCCGTGATACCGCAAAATCAGCGGCATGAAACGACGAGAAGAGATTAACGTTCTGCGATACATTAATTTCCTGGATAATTAGAGAAAAATCACTCGCTGCGTGACACACGTCTTATATTATTGCGGGATGATTAATAATATGAATGAAAACAGTACAAACGAACACCAGACGCGTGGTAAACATGCGTCGCAGTGGTGCTCATTTCGATCGACTTACCTTACTCGACGATGAATCTCAGCGACAGAGAGAGAGTTTAACGATAAATCTCAAGTGACGCATTTCCCTGTTCTTTAAAATAGTCTCGTAGTGATTCGAAATGGCACTCGCCGAGAAACTTTGAATTAAGAAGCAACGTGACTGGCGTCCGTGAAAAATTACCGCGCCAATTACGCATTGGTCGTGTTCAGCACACTCAACTCTCAACTATTGCGGAGTGTATTCTCCTAGAATATAGGAGAATACACCAACAGCAGCGAGCGCTAACAGAAACATGGATCCACTCCGCAACAATTGAGTTCTGCTGAACGCCGTTGTTGTGTATTGTTGGTAATGCCAAGGTCATGTGATCGTACGCGCGAATTTCATTCTTCACGTGTCGCGATATTTAGCTTAAATGCCTAGTTTAAACCGGTATTCATAGTCTGTTTTTACTTTAAAACTTAATTTTCAATTTTTAAAAATGAGATCTCATTTCTTAGAGTGAGATTCACTCTAAAATTTTCTTATCTTGTTTCTTGGTTTTTTTCTGTTTGAAATAAAAGTTAACAAACTTGAAAAGACATGTGACAAGACATATGATTGTTGATAAAATAGTCACAAAAAAGGAAAAAGGCAAGAGATTAAAAGCAAGAAATGAAAAACAAAGAGCATATTTCTTTTAATCCGTATGTTCTGTAGATTTTACTTTCTGCATCACACTTTTCTTTATTAATTATTGAAACTGATTTCAACAATTGTACGATACATAAACAGAGAAATCGACAATCATCTGTTCAATATGCAAACAAAATGTAAAATAATTTTCATCGTGATAAAAATTATGGTAATTTTTACTATGATTTTTATTTATATAATCTTGTATCTTACAGTATCATTTATAAGTGCCTTTTAAATTAATTTTACTTGGTCATTATTTTACCTAATAACTTTATTACTAGATAATTTTATGTTTTATAAAATTTATATGAACATATAACATGAATAAAAAAATATATAAAGTTACAATAAATCAAATTATAGTTTTTATTTTTGTTCTTGCGATGTGATACATGTAGTATTTTCATTCAAGACAAGAGAAAGAGAAACATCTTTATGATATTTTGTTTTTTATTCTTTCATTGAAAACATTTTAACATATATTTAAATTTTAAATGTATCTGTATTCAAAAATAAATTGTAATATTTATTGAAAGTATAGCGAGACATAATTTTTAATTCATTAGTAATCATTGCTTTACGAACAATGAAAATGAAGATATAGAGAAAATAATTAACTTTTAAAATAATTAACTTTTAAAATAATATGTTATGCATTTTATAACCAGTTATTTAAAAATAATACAAAAAACATTTAAAGATAAAAATAAATATTAGAATGTTGTTCAAGAATATAATTTATATATGTATCTTCCATTTATAGAAAATATAAACATCATATATGTCATTAATATTAGGTGTAGTAAAAAGAAATCCATTATTTTTCCATTCAATTTCATGCAAAAATAATGGATTTCTTTTTACTACACCTAATATAAATTTAAATTAAAGGCAAATGTATAAGTATAATTAGAATTTATTTGTTAATTTAATACAGATACAATTGGATAGCAAAAAGGAAAAAAAATCAAATTTCTCTTACAATTATCTAAGGCTATCTTAACATTTATAATTTTTCGTTCAACTGGAATAAAAAGTGATTAATCTCTTTATTAAATTAACTGTTATATTATAGAAACAGATTTTGTTTTTGTACGTATACTTGCGCATAATAAAATTTTTTAAGAATTTCCGCATATTACATCATATAGAAAAAATGTTTTCAGTCAAACTGAAACTGTGATATTCTGTAGATTATGAAATGCTGAAAAGGCAAAAGTTTCCTTAGCATAAAATACAACAATAAACAATAGACAGATTTTTTGCTATGGCATTATTCAAAAATTCTGTTTAGGATTTAATCGAAATTTATCTGCTAAACTATTCGTTTTTGATAACTGTATTTTAATGTTTTTATGCATAGAATAATGAGTTGAATCAATTGATGTATAGAAAGTACATCATATTGCAAATTACATATTTCTTAAAAAAAAAAAAAGTTTTTTTCTTACATCAATTAAATCTCATTATTTTATGCAAAAAAGTATTAAAGAAGTATAAAAGTATAAAAGAAAAATGAATAGTTTAGCAGATAAAGATTTTAAATCTGTTCATTTTTTATGATTTGGCCTAAGAAAACTTTTGATCAGTATCTCATAATTAATAAAATATCGCAGTGTTTAATTTAAACCACTTTTTCATATGATTTATGCGGAGTTTTTTATCCAGAAATATCATGAGTTGTTGAACAATTTTGTGGTATATATATATATATATATTACAAAAAAGTAAATAAAACATAATTCCAAAATTTAAAAAATTGTAAGACACATTTAAATAAAAAAAAAAGTATATACATATACACACATATATACATGTATATGTGTGTATATATACATGTACATATGTGTGTATATGTGCGTAAGTATATATATATATATATATATATGTATATGCAAACAAAGTCATATTATAGCATTTTTTTCGGATTTTATAAATATGTTTGTCCTGTATAATTAACTTAAAAAATTAAAATGTATATTGTAAATTAGATTTATATACATTAACTGTGCAATTATGTACATTAATTTCTTATTAGAATTAGTATCTTATTTTATTTTTATACTCCTTTAGAAATTAAACTTGTTACTTGTATACAAATGATAAATAAATCCTGTGCATCTTAAGTCACTGGTAAGGAACATTCATCATGCATATACTCACACATACTTTCTATAGAGTCATTAACAGCATGTGAAATATCACAAGCAATATGCAAACGATAAAGTGAAAATAATAATTATATGTGTATCTTGATGTGTTCCTTCAATGTAGTTTTGCCTTCAAATCTTTCTTCGCAGATTTCACAAATAAAATCGTCTCCATCGTCGCTGTCGTGATGATACTGTATAATAACATGTGATGTTTCGTCCGGTATTAAAGAATCTTGCTCGTTTTTAATACAATTCTTTCTCTCTTTCAGGGTTTCAACGTCCATAGACATATCTGCGTCACTTATCTGTACGATTTGACTGGAATAATTCTCATGACCCTGCGGATTTGGTATCGCTAGAACGGGTAGCGATTCGTTTTGCTTCGATATTATATTTAAAGTGTTGTCCTGTTTAGACTCAATCAAATGTATCGTGGGCATATCATTCTGCCCGACTGTTTCATCGAGTGTATCAGATTCTACGGACATAATGTTCGTCGCGTCGTTTTGCTTGTCTATAGTAATCATATCGAGAGGATCTGTCTGATCTTGTTCTACTTGGAGTACCTGAATATTCTCATCTTCTTTACCATCAACGATGAATCGTATATTGCTATGCTTAAGCTCGGCTATTTCTATGAAGTCATCATTACGTTTTTCTGCGGCAACTACAACATACGCGTTGTTTTGTTTCTCGTTTATATCATGCATATCATCCGATTTATTAGCTGTATCCGTGATAGATAATAAAGCTTCATTTTGTTCCGCTTTCTGTATAAAGTCCAAATTCTGCTCCGTCTGTGTGTTCACGTTACACGACGATGACTTTGACGACTTTTTCTTTATTGATTTCGATTTTGAAGAGGCGTTTTCGCTATTAGTTTTCGCTTTTGCTTCAGCTATCATCTGATCCGAATGTTTAACGATGTGCGCGCAGAGTTCGTCGCGATCCTGATTCAGAGCGCCACAAAGCGGACATTGATACGGGGGACTCCCTTCCGTTTCGTTTTTTCCTGCTGCGTGAACCCATCGAACATGTTCGCGCAGGACTACCTTCTGATTAAAAGCCCTCGAGCACAATGGACACACATGCGGTCTCTCCCCTGTGTGAATTCGTTCATGCTTCCTCAAAGTTCCACCGTCTCGAAACGCCTTCCAGCAATATTTGCAGCCATACGGTCGTTCACCAGTATGTGTACGATTGTGTATTAAGTATCCCTGACGAGACGAAAATGTTTTCGAACAGGTGTCACATTGAAAATGGGCCGGACTTCCGGCGTGCGTTCTACCGTGCTCCCAAAGACCCTGTCGCGACACGAAGCTCTTTCCGCATTCCATGCAAGTAAATGGCGAATCTCCAGGATGTACCGACAACCTGTGCTCATCCAGCTCGTTCTGCTTTTCAAACTGCGAGCCGCACACCTCGCACGAGTGAGTCTTCTTGCGATGAATCCATTGGTGGCGAAACATCTTTTGCTTAGTCGTGAATTTCTTTCCGCATTCCGAACAAGCGTGCTTACCCCATTTATTGTTAGACACACCTTGTTCGATGTTGTTTTGCATTATTTTCTTGGTGCAGGTGATTTGATGGGTCGTCAAGTGATTCTCATCCTGAAATTGTTTGTCGCAGTACTCGCACTCGATCGGCATATTCCAGTTGTTCTTCGAAGCATGAATCTTTTCGTGAGATGTCAAAGCGGTCGCACGGGAAAATTTCATTCCGCAATGCTTACATATGTACTGCTTGCTATTATTCATTTCGGCTTCTGCGTAATCTTGTTTATTCGCATTATTGCATCTGTAAAGCGTCTCAACTTTAACTATCCCATCGGGAGTGTTGAACGAATTTATTGTTATGTTATACTGTTGACTATTATTTACAGAATCATTGATATTATTTTGATCGGTATACTCGCTAAATTGTGTCATTTCACCATTGGGCATTACTGTAAACTCTTGCAGCGTATCCATCTTGGCATCCTGATTCGGCATTGTGGTAACTATCGATTGTCCGCTATTAAAATTGTATGACGAGACCGGCCATTGAACTTGACAAACATCATAGTTTTGTACAGACTCGACAGATGAAGAAGATAATACTACCTGAGAAGTGTTCTGTGAATCAGATGGATTTTCTGGCCATTTTCTGAATGTCTCTGGCTGAGATATATTATTACTCTGAGACTGCATGATGGCTCGTCCCGCAACATACGTGTGTATCTTCATGTGATTGGACAAACTGGAAGGCCTCTGGAAGTCCGAGCCACAGATGGTACATTTGTGTGGTCGTTCAATATGTTGTGTATGTGCCTGTATCGTATGCGACTGCAAACTCTGCTTGGAACGAAACAAGTTACCACATGTTCTGCATGCATGAGGACGATCCACTTGATGGCAAACCATATGATTATTCAAATCAATCTTTCTTTCAAATCTCTCTCCGCAAGTGGTGCAAGATAGCTTGGATGTTGACTGACATACACTCTGATGTTCAACTATTTCCTCTTGGGTAAAGAGATGTTTACAAATTGGACAACTGATCTTCTTGTCCTCAAAGCATGGATACATACCGCCCAGTTGACGTAGAGCTTCCACAGCCATGGACTCGTCATCGCCTGATGTATACTGCTGCTGTTCCTCCTGCTTGATGTACATTGGATATACTACATGAGTATCGTCTTCCTCTTCCGACTGTTCCGCAAGGATCTCGATGGTACCTTGAGGCTCTACGATATCAGTACTAGCAGTATTACTGACTGTGACCTCTGTAAGGCCTTCCTGGAGAACACATTCGTCGACCTGCTCGCATATCTCCTCATGAGATATCATGTTTTCCTCTATGGCATCGTGCACTTCACCGAGAGGAAACGTCACATAATGCTCTGCCTCGTGAGTCTCCATTCTGCTATTTAAATTACATCAACATATTTACGAAACGTATTGTAACGTGCACGACGATGCTCAAAGGAACCTAGTTTCACCTCAAGTTAGGTCTTCTAGGTTAAGTTGGGATTTATCATACCTGAACGTCGCGTACTCGTGTTTATTGCTCTGTTAAACGCCAGTAACACGTCGCAACGATTATCGTGCACGATTTGCAGCCACTGAGTAATATATATTCCTTTTTTCGTTCTGTGGAAATACGAGTACCAACATCAACCGACATCGACCTGGAAAGATAGAAAGATATACAGTTTTACATATTTATGAGAGCGTATTTGCAGTGATTTGAAGATGCGTACGACAATGTGCAGAAATGTCTCGAAAGAATAAATCAAGTCATTTTTATGAATCAATTAACACTGTCAGCTGTAATACTTGCGAGGTTATTCTTGGAGTAGTGCCCCATATCGGGCACTGTCTGAAGTTGCGCGATAGTGAACGGTCCTTCGATAGAAGAACGAGAAGAACTCTCGATTCTTTCAAATAAATAATATTGTTATATATTCTCATCCATTGAAATATCGATGATTTTTTAGATTAAATAGAAAAAACATACAATAAATATAATAAGTGATAATTAAAAAGATTTTGAAAATAATTAATTTTCTTTTATATATTATATTTACAAATTATATTTCTTGCTGCTGTTTAAATGAAAATTATTTGCTACGAAGAAATAAATATAAAAAAAGAATAAAAAAAAGTAAATCATATATTTTCTTAGCTCTGCATTTTATTTTACACTTCTAGCTTCAAAGTGAGATGGATGGATACGTATATGAGATCTCAGAAGAAGGAAAACTGATATAAAGTGTAAAAAGTGCAAATAAAAGGATTAGGTCTCTCAAAAGCGGCAAACTTCGTAGTATTTATCTGATGACATAAGTTTCAAAGGTTATATTTCTAACAGACATAAATTATTACTGTGCAATTGTAATTGTAACAACTTTCTTAAGTAATGGCAACCTTTGAAATAATTACACACATAGATAATAATTGATAAGTACAGTTTAATAATTAAATATATCTATTATCATTAATTAATTCTATTAACATTCGATTGAAATCCGTGTTATCATGAAAAACGAGAAGGAAGAAACTTTAGCAGGATGGAAAATTATATGGTGGTTATTCAAATTATTCGGTCTTCCAATCACTATTCCTTGGTTGATGTATCATTTTTATGATATTATGCTACAAAAGCGGAAGAAAACAGCTCTTGGTAATAAGGTAATATCTTGTGAAGTTTTTAAAAAATTTTGTTATAATTATAAAACGTATAAAATATAAGCAAAATATATTTCACAAAATGTATATTTGAATATTTCTGTGAATATATTTTTGTTATAATTTGATTCAATTCAGGTTGTTGTGATAACTGGCGCTAGTTCTGGTTTAGGAGAAGCTTTAGCTCACACATTCTATAGCTTGGGTTGCAAAATTGTTTTGATATCTCGTAGAAAAGAAGAATTAGAGAGAGTAAAGAACGATTTGCTGAATACTCATCAAGTATGTAACATATTTCAATAGACAAATTTATTGGATATCAATTATTCTGCTTTCCTTTCAGACAGTTCCAACGTATCCACCTATTGTTTTATCATTAGATTTAACTGATATTAATAATTTAAAAAATGAAGTGTCAAAAATTATAATGATATATGACAGAATTGACATTCTAATTAATAATGCTGGTATTTCATATAGAGGAGAAGTTATTGACACAAATGTTGATGTAGATATAAAAGTCATGTTATCGAATTATTTCTCTCAGGTTGCATTAAGCAAAAGTAAGTATACTACGTAAGAGATTTGTGTAGATAACTGTATATAGATTCATAATTCATTATTGATTTATAGTTGTTCTTCCATACATGATAGAGCAAAAGTCTGGTCATATAATAGGTATAAGTAGTGTACAAGGGAGAATTGCTATTCCATTTAGGCAAGTATTCAGTTATAAGTCAATATCTATTCTTTTTTCAACAAATTGCTTAATTATTAATTTTTAGATCTGCATATGCTGCATCTAAGCATGCATTACAAGCTTGGTATGATACTGCAAGAGCAGAGCTATGTGACAAAAATATAAAATTCACAGTTGTCAATCCAGGATATATTAAAACATCTCTTTCTCTTAATGCCTTGACAGGAAACGGGCAAGTTTATGGAAGTTAGTAACTATGTTCTTAACAGAAATATTAAATATATCTTAATCCTCTCCATATGATTTTTTAATATACGTTATTTTATTATTAGTAATGGATAAAACAACTGAAAGTGGTTTTCAACCAAAGTATGTAGCTGAATGTATTTTAAAATCTGTATTGAAACAAGAAAAAGAAGTTACTATTGCATCATTTTCTCCAAAATGTGCTATAATACTTAGAACTCTGTTCCCTTCGCTTTATTTCTGGATTATGCAAAAGCGTGCGAGAAAATTAGCACGAGACAAATAATTATTTTAATTAAGTATTACAAGTACGAATTTTTTTACGGACAATTTTTTACGTGATTGCTTTTTATTCATTGTGGAATTGTGTGTATTATTTTATATGTAAAATAAAAAAAT